CCATTGCCACAGTGCTTGTCCTTCACTCTTTAGGTGAGCTTGTCCGGGCCTGTAGCTTCATGCCTCTTCTACGTTCATATGACTTTCAGATTACACTCTCTACTCCAAACCTGGATTTGAACTTGAGACCTGTATTGTTGTCTGTTCTTACTCTTCTGAGTCAGCTCTGGCTCAGGGGGGGCCCATTTGATACTGGGTGGGGGGAACTGCCCTTTTTGCAAGCAGACAGGCCTTTTCTTCTGTGTTGCTGTTGCTCTTTTTCTGCAGCGTGGAGTCGAGTGCGATTCATAGCGGTCCTGTGGATGACAGGTCTGAGCCCTTCCCTGTCCGGTGCCATCCTCACCATTTCTAATATGCCCTGGCCCATTGCTTAGTCACTGTGTTCATGCCACTGTATGCATTCAGATCGCCAACCTCCCAGTTATGAGCCCAGCGCAAAACAGTGCCACCCAGAAATCTTAGACTAACCAGTCCTGCTGCCTGTGAGGTTATTCCGGCTCACACAGCCCCCTGTCAGGTTTCTGGCGCTGTACGTCTTTACGGAAGGAGACAGCCCATCTTCTGCCAACTCCATTTGGACATCTGATGGGCATTTCAAGTTTATGGGTGAAGTGTCTAAATCCTTAGGTGGCACGGAGGGTTAAACACTCAGTCACTAGCTGAACAGTTCATGGTTTAAACTCACTCAGAGGCACCTTGGAAAGCGATCCTGGTGATTTGCGCCTGAAAGTCTTTGAAAACCCTGTGAACTCAACTCATTGCTGTGGAGTCGGAACCATAGCTGGCCCTCTGGCAGATTTTCAGAGACTACGAAATGATCCGCTTTTTTCCCCTGGAACTGCTGGTGACTTTGAACTTTTAGAAGAGCGCATCCTCGGGCTGTCGGCACAGTTCTCTCCAGACGAGACCACCCAAGCTTCCTGTGGAGCAGTTGCCTGCACACGGGGGTCACCGTGCATCTGATCGGGCTCCACAGCAGCTACACAGACGTACTTAACTCATCCGGATCCTGCCCACCACTGACCAGTTTCTGTCTCAACCTTGAACACAGCACCATTATTCTTCTGGCTTTACATTCCACGACTTCAGCTCTTAGAATTACTCAACTTGTTCAGTTCTTTTCATTGTGTCTGTTCCATAGGCTGACCCTACATGTTGCATGCTCAGATCCTGAATAAACCACTAACTGCCATTTCACTTTTACCTGCTTATAAAAGTAAAGGGTCCCTGAAGGAGAGGAAGGTGCTGAACTAGATGAATGGTGACCACAGCATGAGGCATGAGTACAACAGAGAGAGGGAGGATGGCATATGATAGGGCAGTTTTGATCTTTTGCCCAGAGGGTCACTGTGAGTTGTAGTCAACCAGATGGCACCCACAACAGCGCTTTTGCTAAGCTGTTGTAGCCTGAATCATCTCAGCCTGGGCAAACGAACTGGCGCCTTAACTAGCCTTCTTCTTTCTGCTCAGTGCCCGATGATGTACACACTACAAAGCAATCAGAACATTTCTTTCAGAACAAAACCCATTCATGTCATCCAGCTCTCTAAATATGGTTCTGACTGAATGGTACATCACGTCACGTCACATCACATAATGTAACAAGCCCTCCAGAAGTAGTCCTGGACCACCTCTCCATCCTCATTCCAGCCCTTGCCCTCCTGGTGGGCCGTGTCCCTTGCCATCCTTGATAATCCCTGGCTCACAGCCTCCTGCATCCACCTCTGCCGTGGGGCTCCCTGCAGTGCATGTGGCTTACCCACTGTGCATCTGTGACGTACTATCAAGACAGGCCGGTCCTTGGAAAAAGACATCAGGTTGAGAGAAGGCGGAGGGTCAGCAAAGGAGAGGATGCCCTCAACGAGATGGAGGGACACAGTGGTTATATCACTGGGCTCAAGCATCAGAGATCACGAGGACGGCAGCGGACAGGGATAGGTTTAAATCAGTTCTTCTTAGGGTTACAGCTGACTTGAAGGCACCTCACAACCACACAGCAACAGGAGGGTGTCGCCGATCAGCACAGCTGAGGTAACAGCCTCTGTTCTGTAGCACTTTCCTCCCGCCCTCCCTTTTCTTTCTAGCACTTATTTTGGATTACATAAAATAAACACTTACTTGTTAATGTACTTGTTAATCTCTTTCTCATAATAATGTTTTGTGAAGGTAGGGCTTGTCTGTTTACTGTACCACAGTGTCTTTCCCTGTACCTTAGAAGATAACGTACCTTTAGAATAAATATTCGCAAAAACATAGGAACACACCCATTTATTGCCATAATGTTTCTTACAATTGAAAAGGATCCTAAAACCCATAGAAGACAGAACAGTGATGATGCATTCTACCATGTTTATATATGAACTATTTTACATTCCATCGAAAATGAACATGAGAAACGTATGTATACCATTCACATAAGTTGCAGGAAAATTTAGACACAAGATTGCAAGGTACAAATAGATATGTCGTTGTTGCCATCAGTTTGAGGCTGATTCACAGCTGACCCTCCAGTGGGTTTTCTGAAACTGTTACTCACATAGGAGGAGATTGCCCATTCTTCTTCTACAGAACAGCTGATGGATTCAAACTGCCTATGTCTGGGTTTTCAGCACAACTCCTTACCCACCCATTACCAGAACTCCCTGTAAATATATATGGTAGGATAACTTTAAGATAAATTTTAAAACACTTAAGAAAATCTGTTGTTTGGATAAGTGTATATATAGTAAAAGGTTGGTAAGAGTATAGTAAAGTTGAGAATGTTAAACGCAAGGCCAGGGTAGTGGTCCTCTGTAAGTGGTCACAGTCCCCTTGAAATCGAGTGGCCTCAGTGGCCACTGGCAGGTGAAATGCTCCTGGACTTTGAGATCTGAGTTCTCTGAACATCATGGATAGGAAAGCAGAAAGCCAGCTATAAGTTACCTAAATCTGAAAAACTTCCATGTTACGCAGCAACCCTCGTTCTGTAAGGTGAGATAGTTCTTGGGAGAGAGATGACAAAATTTTCACTCTGAGATGTGTAAGCTGCCTCGCAATCTAAACTTCATAGCCGAAGCATAATTCCACTGCGCTGTTCTTTCCCCCCAGGCCTCATATCAAGTGATGGGTTCTGCAGATACCTGATGTCCGATGAAAACGCCCCCGTCTTCCTAGATCGCTTAGAACTTTACCAAGAGATGGACCAGCCGTTGGCGCATTACTTCATCAGTTCTTCCCACAACACCTATCTCACCGGCCGGCAGTTTGGTGGCAAGTCCTCAGTGGAAATGTACAGACAGGTTCTCCTGGCGGGCTGCAGGTGAGGAGCCCGATGGCTGTTTGCCTTAGTGCAGGGAGCCCCTTGATTTCATCTGCGTTCCCCTCAAAGATTTTTCTGCTGTTGTTGTTGTCCGCTGCTTTCAGGTTAGCTCCAGGTCACGGGGCCACAGGCAGCACTGCCCAGTCTCCTGAAGTTCTCACTATTGCTTGGACACGGGCTTGTTGTGGTCCAGAGTGGTCCACGGACTGATTTTCAGACGTAGATCACCAGGCCTTACTGCGTAGTCTTTCTTCATTTGGAAGCTCCAGTGAAAGCTGCTCAGTGTCATAGCGGCAGGACGCACCAGCCTCCCCTAGCGGAGAAGTCGTAGCTGCACAGGAAGTATGTTAACTGAGAACCAGACTCCTTTCTGCATGGAGGATAGGAATTCTAGCCCTGAGCCATCACCACTGCCCTCTGAAAAATAGCGCGTGGTAGAGTCATAGTAATAATGTTGTTGCGGTTGTGTACCACTGAGTCAGAACCGACCCATGGCTGACCCGCCAGTGGGTTTTCAGAGGCACGGGAGGAGATTGTCCATCCTTCTCCCGAGGTGGTGGACTCGAACCGCATGCCTTCGGGATTCCAGCACAGCTTCTTTAGCTGGGCCGCCAGAGCTCCCTACTAGTAATAACAGTAATCTAATCGTAACAGTAGTAGAGTAGTCAGAGGGTGGTGGTCTGGTGACCTTGTGGTTGCTGTACACCATCAAGTCAGAAATGACCCATTGCTGACCCTCGAGTGGGTTTTCAGAGGCTGTAAATAGCACAGGAGAAGACTGCTCATCTTTCTCCTGTGGAGAGCTATTGTATTCGAACCACCTACTTTTATGTTGGCAGTGCAGTTCCCTACCGCTAAGCCATTAGAGCTCCCTTCTGGTGGCCTAGTGGATAAGACATTGTGCTGTCAACCTGAAAGGCGCTTTGAGTCCATCACTTGCTCCGTGGGAGAAGAATGGGCAGTCTCTTCCTGTGTGATTTACAGCCTCAGAAAATTCGCTGTGGAGAGTCAGCTATGAGTTGGTTCTGACTCGACGGCACACAACAATAGTCACAGTGAAGGGGACGTCGTCTCTCTTTCTCCTTGATATGTTATGATGCTCATTTAGCCTCAGTGAGATAACACGCTGTTGATTCCAGAAAGTCCTCCTGTGGGTCAAATAATACTCATACCCTGAATGTCTGCCGCAAAAACTGAAGAAGAGAAATATGCTTGTGTGAGGTGGTCATAAAGGAAAGGTGCTCAAAGACATTAGAAATCAAGAGCTGTTTCTAAAAGCTTTACTCACAAATTTACCTTTATGTTAAAAATTTTTAAAAATTTTAAAAAGTTTTAAAACATATCTTGAAAATGATTTTTCTCTTAAAGAAACTGACAGACGTCCTGATTTAAAATACTACATAAATGCTAAAGTGAAAAAGAAATGTGATTCTTTTTTCCTCCTTTGGTTAACAATAACTAGCGTTTTTTAAACTCACTTTTTTTTTCTTTTTCTGAAAGGGAGCTCTGGTGGCCTAGTGGATAGCGCATTGAACTGCTAACCCAAAGGAGATTCTTCTCTGGCAGTTCAAACCCACCAGCTGCTCTGTGGGTGAAAGATGGGCAGTCTCCTCCCATGTGATATACAGCCTCTGAAAACCCACTAGAGTGTCTGATGTGAATTGGTTTCACCACAAGAATATGGAAAGTTGTTGGTTTGGGGGTTTTTTCCCCTGAATATGGGCATACTTTTAAATAAATTACCCACATCAATATTTCTCTCTTCTGAATGAACCCAAAACTCATTGCCTTCGAGTGAGCTCCAACGTACAGCCAGCCCTCCCATGGGTTTCCAAGACTGGGTATCATTTGGGAGGAGCTTGCACCTCTTTCTCTCTCAGAGCTGTTGGGGGGTGCACACCACAGATAAGAGCAACCTTTGAATTAGCAGCACAACTCCTTATGTTCTACAACACGAGAGCCCCCTTTTCTCAGAATATTTAAGTGTAAATCACTAAAATAACAAGAAGAATATTTTCTAGCATGGCCAGAATAACATTATCCTGACCTACAAAATTCAGTACTATGGGCATGTTGCTAGAAGGGGCTATTCCTTAGAGAGGGACATGATGCTGGGAAGGGAGGAGGGCCAGTGAAGGAGAAGAAGACCCTCAGCCAGGTGGACTGACACGGTGACTGCTGCTGCAGTGAGCTCTTGTGTGTCAGGAAGTGTGAGGGTGGCACAGGATAGAGCAGGGTTCAGATGTTTTTGTTCATAGGGTCGCTATGAGTCGTACTTGGTTCAACGGCACCTAACAACAGCAACAACAACAATAACAAAGTTAAAAGCCAGTTTTGTTGTTGTTGTTTCATTTTTTCCTTTTCTTTCCCTGATTTATGACACCCACAGGTAAGCAGAGTAGAACCATTCCATAGAAATTCTGGAGACTGTGACTTTCAGAAATAGATTGCCAGACCCATGTCTGAGTCATAAAATAATATTTACCATCATCGCAAACCCAACTCATATTCAGATTTCCCCAGTCATCCCTAAATTGTCCTTCACTGTAGCTTGGTTTTAACTAGAATGTCCTCCAGAATCACACTGCTTCTCCTATCACTTAAATCTCTCTTAATCATAATGAGTAGAGCTCTGGTAGCCTAAGTGAGTAAGGAGATGCACTGTCAGGCTAGGTATTTCAAACCCCAGCTGCTCCACAGGAGAAAGATGGCCAGTCTCCTTCTGTGTGAATTTGCAGCCTCTGAAAACTTGGGCTCCTGACTTGACAATAATGAGTTGGAGTTTCTAAATCTTAATCTCGGGTAATCCCCACTTGATTACGTCCACTGGATGAAGTAGATAGTGGGGTTTTAACTGGCTGCCCTGTAGATAATCACATTATCCATTTCATTCTTTACCACTCGTTGGACTGAAGTCAATCACTGATGACAGCAGGAGGTTGTCACAGGACAGGGCAAGGTTATTCATAGGGTGGCTGGGAGTCGCAGGTGACTTGCCAGTGCCTAACAACAACATTCTCTTTTGTGTTTCTGTAAGAAGACATCTAGACACATTTGTGTCTTTTCATTTGCTCACACACACTGTTTTAAAGATTCAATATTGTAGTTTCCCTGTCTTCCTAGATGTGTTGAACTTGACTGTTGGGATGGGAAAGGTGAAGACCAAGAACCAATTATAACCCACGGAAAAGCAATGTGTACAGATATCCTTTTCAAGGTAAGTTTTTAAATTACTTTCTCCCAGCTCTGAGAAAGTGAGGAAACCGATTTCCTCCGCCTAATGTGACCTCCATGGTTTCCTGCTTTCATGGTGACTGAGCCACAAAATGCAGTGTCTGGCAGGCTGCCTGCTTCACCTCACCTTACAAACAGCCTTTCATTTTCTTATCTGCTTAGTTACTTTGCATTATTCCTGAAGGGCACCAAGGTGGCATAAAAAGATAAACAGAATACAGAAAAAGAAAACAGACTTTAAATAGTGCTTACAAAAGTAAGAAAATAGCAAGATGCCCACAGTAAGGTTAGTGTATGTGACTGTTTGCCAAGAGTTCTACAAACAGAAGAGCCAATGCACAGTGGGAGCTTTAGCCTTCTAGAATCCAGTACAAGGAGAAGAAGCTATCAAGTAACAATAGAGTATTCTGTTCAGAGAAATGCAGCTATTCCCAGTATTAAGACCAGAGAGAAAGTGTCTCCAGAGGACCCCTATATAAATGTATAATGTAACAGTTATATAAATGTTATGCACCATTGAGTTGGAACCGACACATACCTGACCCTCCAGCAGCTTTTCAGAGGCACTAAATCCCATGGGAGGAGATTGTCCATCCTTCTCCCATGGAGCCGCTGGTGGATTAGAACCACAGGCCTTTGTCTTAGCAGTGTAGCTCCCTACCAATAAGCCACAAGAGCTCCCTTGCATAGATAGATGTGGCCTTTATTTTTGGTGATTTCAGTGAAAGATTTCAAGGCTGGTTTCTTAGCACCTCCCTCAACATGGCCCAGTGATGTTTCACCAAGGGACAAGTGAGAATGAGATTTTATGATTGGCCAGTAGATGAACATCAGTCTCTTTAAGTCTGATGGTGCTAAGAGATAGTACAGCATTCAAAGCAGCCATTATCATTCTTGACTGCATGTGAAGAATCGCCAGGCATAGTTTTTAAAACACATGTGTTCTGTGCCCATGACAGTCTGTGTTTATCCTCTCTCTTAACCCAGATAATAATGAGCTTTGAGTAGCAATGATTTCAACATTATGTCCCAGAGGACACTGACATGAGAAGCAATGAGTGTGCATGGGACAGCTTAACAAGCAAAGAGAACTAAAAACAAGGTCATGCTCTCTGTGGTTGGAGAAAAGCCACTGAGAATCCCAGAGGTAGAGCTGAAGCATGTCCCTGGGGGAGTGATTCTTGGTCAGCTCAAGAGGACAATCAAAATAGCAGCCATTTTTATCTGGTCTGAAGTTTTAAGCAAGAATCATGACATGACCTCAACCATAAGGATGTTGTTGTTATGTTCCGTTGAGTCAGAAATGACCCATAGCTGACCATCCGGCTGGTTTTCAAAGGCTGTAAATCACACAGGGGGAGACTGCCCATCTTCTCCAGTGGAACAGCTGGTGGATTTGAACCCTGTGCTTTTGGGTTGGCAGCACAGCTCCTTACCACCAGGCTACCAGAGATAACGCAACAAAATACTCCAAAGTTATCCAACCTTAGCAACATAATTTTAAATTTGTTTTGCTAGATAACTATTGTAAAATATTTTCCTGGCCAATCAAATCATGGGGATAAGAATTTGGGATTTTACCAAGTAGGATGCTCCAGGTGAGAAGCACTGCTCCGCTGCCGTTCTTTGTAAAGCTAAGCAGAGAACTTGTGTCGTTTGTAACCCACTGAGGTCGCTGTGACTTACGGAGATCCTTTATAGGGCTTCTGAAACCATAAATGTTAACGGCAGGAACCTCTCTCTTCTAGAGCATCTTGTTGATTCAAACTGCCAAACTTCAGGTTAGCATCACAACATGCTACACTCTGTACCATGAGTGTTCCTTTGTTAAGAGCCATTTAGTAATGCCTATTCTATTTCATGTTGTGCATAGGGTTTTCAGAGGCCTGCTATTTCAGAAGTGGGTGGCCAATCCTTCTTCCTAGTCTGTCTTAATCTGAATGTTCAGATTTAGAAGA